CAAATTTCATATTAAGGCAAACAAGTAGTTCTAGCCTAGCATGTTGTACAGAATTCATGTAAGGCAGTTTGAGCAATTAAAGCAATTAAACATGCTTTTCTAAGCTAACAACATGCTTAATAGTGCAAGTAATAAAAATAGGAAAAAAAACTTAATAGCAATTACTTAATGAAAAATTGGATTTCCAACAATTAGCACAAGTACGCACTAGCCACCTCACGTACAAGACATCTCAATTATCAAATATACCAAATCCTAAGGGGAAAGTCCCCCACGCAAGGTTAGACAAGCCACTTACCCCCGAACCGACTCAAAATCAATCCGAAGCCACGCTCTTGCCAAGAGTACTCGACTCCAAATGGCCCAAATCTATTTAATTCAATTTCATAATGTAAATAACACTTCAAGTAACTGATTCTACAATTAAATTCTAAGCTAATACGTGAAATTAGGTAAAATGACCAAAACGCCCCTCGGGACCACATCTTGGAATCAGGTAAAATTTACATTTCCAGAATATTCACACTCTTACGAGTTCAGTCATACCAAAAGTACCAAAATCGGACCTTATTTGGTTCCTGAAATCATTACTCAAAGACCTCTAATTAGTCAAACCCTAACCCACAATTTACCACTGATTTTCCTTAATTTTTCATGCTTAAATTGATAAAATTCATCCCAATAACGAGTTTGGCAACCAAAGACCTTACCCCAATGAACTCCTCTGAAAATACCTCTTGAAAAGTGCTCCCCAAGCTTCTTCCCGTTTGAAAAGAGGTGAAAAATAGCTAAATTTCGCGAAGGAAAGTATTTATATGTTTCTGCCTAGCGATTTCCGCATCTGCGGTCCTGGGACCGCTTTTGCGGACCAACGGTCGCATCTGCGACTTCTCATTAAATCCCTTTTTTCGCTTCTATGATAGATCTTCCGCACATGCGGTCTCGCAGGTGCGATGCCCTTCTCGCACCTCCGGCTCCTGTTGGACCTCCCCAAATTCCGCTTCTGTGATTGATCCGCTGCTTCTGCGGCTCCGCACCTGCAGTTCCACACTCGCAGGTGCGGTTATGACAGAAAACTAGCTGAAGCTGCAACTCCAAACTCTAAACTCCAAAATCCTTCCGTCAACCATTCGAAATCATCCCGAGGCTCCCGAGACCTCAACCAAAGGTACCAACAAGTCTAATACCACTGTCCAAACTTATACCAATCCTTAAAACACCTAAAACAACATCGAAACGACGAATCAACCACGGATTCAAGCCTAAAAATTCCAAAACTCTAAAGATATTCTTTCGATCAAAAAGTCTATCAAACCTCATCCGAATGACCTGAAATTTTGCACACACGTCACATTCTACATTACGGAGCTACTCCAACTTCCAGAATTCCATTACGACCCTCGGATCAAAATCTTACTATCGAACCGGAAACTTCAAAATTCAACCTTTTGGAATTTCAAGCCTAATTAGCTACGGACCTCTAAAACACAATCCGAACACGCTCCTAACCCTAAAATCACCCCACGGAGCTAACAGAACCATCAAAATTCCATTCCGAGGCCGTCTTCACATTGTTCTGACTACGGTCAACTTTCTAACACTTAAGCTCTCATTTAGGGACTAAGTGTCCCGAAACTCTCCGAAACTCGAAATCGAACAAATCAAAATAGTAGAAATAAACATGGGGAAAGCAGATGATAGGGGATAGGGGCGTAAATTCTTAAGACAACGGGTCGGGTCGTCACAAGTTCATCTTGATAATGCTGGTTTATATCCAAGCTGGTTTAGCATTGAATACCTCCTATTAATGGCTAAACCATTGCTTATGAGAACAAAGTTCCATGTGTTGGTCTAAGATTTTCTAAATTACATATAACAACACTTGTATGCATCATAACAACAATATATGATAAGTCCTCCCTTCACAATTGGTTTAGGATCAGAAACCAAATATTTTTACTATCTTTTGTTGCGTGGTATATGATTAATTTCTCTACCATAATACACAAAGATATGTTTTCCAAAAGATGATTAGGGATGTATGTTAGTTTTTTTAACATTTGGGGGGATGGAATAAACATCTGAAAAATATGCTATATGAATTGAATTATCATTAATATGATCCTCACTTAGAAGATAATTCAAGTCGAATGCCAGAAGCATTTGCTGATCTAAAATTAAATATCATATTTCAGCTGCAAATGCTCCTATTAAAATTAAAGTCCCTGAAGGATAAAGTTTACTACACGCATAAAGCGTAGTAAATCGATCGGTTCCAAAGTTAACAATCCTTGAAAAATGATAGGAGCAAATGATCATAATGAGGAGGAAATGAGCTCTAGAAGAGCTCACGGCATGACATTTCATGAAACTCCAGAAGAAGTTCAGTTACCTGAAAATAAAGGAAGTTTTGAGATCTCAACAAGTTATGCTGCTTAGGAACCGATACAAAATTATCGTCGACGATATATTTGATACAATATAGTGCACAATATTGTAAAAGATTGTGAGGATTAGACATGTAGTCCGAGCACTTGGATATGTCATGCCATTTAAATGCAAGGCATAACCTATATGGCTCATTTGATTAAGTATATATAAAGATCCCTGAAGGATTTAAAATGCCTGAAGCATATAATTCAAAGTCTCAAAAAATGTACTCGATTAAATTACAAAGATCTTTGTACGGTTAAAGCAATCTGGGTGCATGTGGTATAATCGCCTCAGTGAAAATTTGCTGAAAGAATGTTAGATAAATGATATTGTTTGTACATATATTTTTATAAAGAAAATGTCATCAAAATTTGTTATGCTTATTATTTATGTTGATGACATAAATTTTATTGGAACTCCAGAAGAGCTCCAAAAGGGTCTTAAAAATGCTTTTACATGGACAAAGTGTACCCATTAAGTACACCAATGGATATTCAATCACTTGAAGTGAATAAAGATCCGTTCCAACCTCTAGAAGAGGATGAAGAACTCCTTGGTCCTGAAATACTCTATCTCGGCGTAGATGGTGCACTTATTTATTTTGCTAATGCTAACAAAAGTGGTGCAGATCGTATTGGTTATGCAAATGCAGGTTATTTATCCGATCCCCATAAAGCTCGATCTCAAACTGGCAAGCAGGGAGTGCATATGATTGAGATAAGTGATTCATTCGAGAAACATGTGAGTTGGAATGTGATAAAAGATTCACAATATTATACGGAGACAATGTTGCATGCATAGCCCAATTAAAGGAAGGATTTATAAAAGGAGATAGAACGAAAAATATTTCACCATAATTATTCTAGACACATGATCTTCAGAAAAATTGTGACATTGATGTGCATCAAATTAGTTAAAGTGACAATCCAGCATATTGTATTTACCAACTTCAACTTTTGAGAATATGGTATACAAGATTGGAATGCAGAGACTCAAATATTTAAAATAAGGTTTTCTTTAGGGGAGTAAAATGCGCGTTGTACTCTTTTTCCCTTACTAAGGTTTTTCCCACAGGGTTTTCCTTATAAGGTTTTTAATGAGGCAGCCAACAATGTATATTACTAAATATGTGTACTCTTTTTCCTTCACTGAATTTTTTCCTACGGAGTTTTTTCTAGTAAGGTTTTAATGAGACATAATATCTTTTAATGAACATCCAAGGGAGAGTGTTATGAATATATTACATTATGGATATTCACTTAGTACTCCGTTGTAAATAAGCTTCCTGAAGAAGCTTATCCATATGGGACTCCGCCGTAAATATGTTTATCTATTTAGTACTCTATTGGAAATAAGCCTTGAAGAAGCTTATCAATTCGGTACCCGGTTATGGATAAATATTACCTCCGGTCGAAGATGATTCATACCGGGTATAATAAGCTTATCCTTTCGATACTCGGTTATGGATAAACATTACTCCCGGTAGAAGATTATCTATACCGGGTATAATGAGCTTATCGTTTCAGTACTCCGTTATGGATAAGTATTACCCCCAATAGAAGATTATCTATACCGGGTATAATGAGCTTATCGTTTCAGTACTCCGTTATGGATAAGTATTACCCCCAATAGAAGATTATCTATACCTGGTATAATGAGCTTATCCTTTCAGTATTTCGTTATGAATAAACATTAATCTCAGTAGAAGATTATCCATATATGGTATAGTAGCAGCTTACACAACAACTTTCTTTCTTCTATAAATAGAGGAGATTTCAGTTTATTATGTACATCAGTTTGAATTCGAATAATATATCAGTTTCTCTATACTTGTCTTTACTTTACATTTTTTATTTTATAACAAAGAAGATATTTTGAAAGTTTTCTTAGAGAATTAGGAGAAAATAAAACTTCACAGGCATGAAGAGGGTGAAGGGTGGGCCAAAGTTTTTGTTTTTTTAGTAACAGTAGAAAAGTGGAGAGAAAGGAAATAGTTGTAGAAAAATAAAGAAAAAGAATAAAATGTTATAAATAGAATTTTATTTATGGTGAATGTCTATATTTAGAGAGATTGTAGGGTTCGTTACTTGGTGGCTAAGTCACCCTCTTCCTATAAAATAGAGGGTTCTACCCCATTGTAATTCATCCCATATCAATAAGAATTTCCTCGCTCTCTCCACTTTTCTTTCCAATACTCCTCTTCTTCTTTTATTATTTTATAACACGTTAACCAATTGAGTAGAAACTTTGGGATTAACATAATGATTGTCAATTATTCTATGAACTTCCTTCATGATTAAATTCTGGATTTAAGGTAAGTATTTTACTTTTCTCTTTCAAATTCTTGATATTCTATAATTTGATTTTAAATACAAGTAAAGACGATAAATTTTGTTTTCAATTCTAATGGAGTTTGAAAGAAATTATAACCATCCAAAGTGGTAAAATTTTGATGTATGATCAATTTTGATTCCTCTTATTTTTTTCCTTGTTATTAATAAGGCAGAGTTTGGGGTCGTCAGGGGCATCTTGGGGAAGATGTGAAGGGTTATTCTGGGAAACTTGGAGGCGTATATCCCTCAAAAAAATCGCTGCCCTAACACAGCTGGGAAGTAAATTTCTTTTTCTCTCAGGTGATCTGCTTTTCCTTGCACTTCGGTGGATTATTGTGGTACTTATATTTCTTTCTTATCTTCTACTTGTTATCTTCTAAAATCGAACACATCAGAAAATCATAAAGTGAAATTTTAATTTGGAACTGATCTCACTGCCTTTTCTATTCTCTGGAATCAAACTTGACTGTAAAACCTAGCTTTGTAGCAAGAGGAAACAACGTAACTTTCTTAATCTAAAGTCTATTGTCACCCTTCTCTTGGACTTTTGGGTAACTATTTGATGTTAAGCTTGAATTTTTTCCTCCACTCTTTTTTTTTTTGCGTGCAAGATTTTATTGAAGAAGAATTGGGTAAAAGTCCTTAGGCAAAACTATTGTGTTTGATAAATTTCTTAAAAGAAACTAATTTTTCATTGAACTTCCAGATTTCTTTTCTGAAGGAGTAGGCTGGTTAGATATTTTTTTCCCAACTCACCGACATTCATGTTTGCAATTTCCAATAGATCTGGTAAATTATTTGCTATAGATTTTTCATGTTGTCTTATTTAGATATAAGAATTCGATAGCATCAAATTCATTTTACTTCACACCGGCCTCAAGTGGCCTGTCATTAGCTAATTCCAGTGCAATGTGAGAATAATTCTCTAGATGAACATTTATCATGAAAAAAAGTTACAAGTTCAACAATGGCTTGCTTTCGATTAAAATATCATACATGGTGAAAACATATTGTAATTTGGCAGCATATGACTGTATACTTTCTTCAGATCGATTACTTCAACTAAAATTAGTAGAAGTTAACTGAAGAGATTAGCTGCAAACGAGATAAAAACCTTATGAAATTATAGCTCATAGAGTCAATTGAATCATAAATGAATGAGAGAATACTGTTAAATCAGGAACAATTGAAAGAAATTTTCACAAAAAAAAATGTAGTTGCTGATAATGGAAGTAGGCTTGCTAAATAATTAAATACAATTTAAATATGCACACTTAGGATCATCTGCTCATTTAATACTCGAAAATTAATTTGTGAAATGAGCAATCCATGCCTAAACTTCTATAGCTAACAAGATAGATAAGTAGAGTTTGTGAAACTAATTACCTGGCTTGTTCTGCTTCTATGTAGGGTTCATTTTTTAGTTAGTCCATTTGTGGCTATCTAGGAAAACTTCAAACAATTTCTGCATCTTTGGATTAGAGGTCAACTTAAGAGTTTTTCCAAAATCCTTTAGAAGTGAACCTCTTTTTGATTAGTGAAATAAGTATTAGGTCTGGTTCTTGGATATGAACTTTCTGAGTAGCAAATTAGTAGTAGAATATCTTCTGCTTTATGTTGATCTCAGGTATCTGCTAAAAATAATTTATGCTTCTGAATGAAAATTAGTAGAATAATTGAGATAGGGCAGAAGTAGAAAATTTATTTCGCTGACTCTTTTGGTTTTCCTTTTTTTTTTGAATTGCTATATATTACGCTTCATTTTAGGTCAGGATGTTTTAACATTGTGGCTGTTCATACAAGTAATTCTGTTTATTGTTCTTTTCTGTCCATTTGTTTGCTGCAATTTTTTGCAACTCAGTGGCACTCTTATGATGTATCGTCAATTTATGAGTAGTCTCTCTTTCAGGTTGTGTCTACAGATAGAAGTTGTATTTATTTTTTCTACTTTTTCCTTACCTTTTTCCTTATTTTTGCTGTAAAAACCATATATCTTTTGCCGTTCTTGTCTGCCATGATGAAGATATAGTATATACTACACATGAACAACTCATAAACATGCATGTGCGGTTATATCTGACTCATGCTGCAGAATATGCGATATTAATTCGAATTGTCAATATCGGACCATGTGAGAATACATGTTCCCGCAAATAAATTCCGACCACTACAACATTTGACCACCCCGGAACAATGTGGCCTAGACTAGTAAAAAGTGTGGCCTTTGATCAAAGGCTACACTTTTCGACTTTAGGCAACGCTTTATTTGGGGTGGCCAAAACAAGCGTAACCTTTGACCTAAGGGCATGCTTTTCAATTGTTTCCTTACAAGCCACGCTTAAAAGCGTGGCTTATTAGATAACAAAGACAACGCTTACTACACCCAATATGGCAACACTTTTATACCTTACAACTACACTCTGAAAGCGTGACCTTTGTTACCTTATAGGCCACACTTGTTAACCGTGGCTTCTAAAGGAACACTTACAAAGCGTAGTCTTTGCTTATATACATGGTAGACGTAGAAACATATGGTCACACTTCTAAAGCGTGGCTATTTTGGCTAAGGTATACAATTTATATTTTTTTTTTTTTTAAAATTTACATTTTGCATATATCCTGTAATTAGAGTTATTTCAAGCATATGCATTATTATCATATATTTTGATGATATAAAGAACTAAATGAGCTAATAAGTACCCAAAAAAAAATTCAAATTAATACACATAACAATAAAACAATGAGTCAAAATGCCCATTAACAATAAACTTTACAAAAGTGAATATATTCATATAGTATCATGAGTATTAGACAACCTAATTATCCAAAAATTCTTCGCATTCACATTAAGATCAAATTGACTTTCCTCCACCATTTCGAATTGCATCATCCACATTCTCCTATACATAAAAAGAAATAATAATCAAATAGAAACTAAACTTTGATCGTTCGTCAAGAAGAACAAAGACTAGGATAACAATAGTAGCACCTGTTTTGCATATTTCTTCTAACATATCAATAAAAATTGAATAATGAGTAACCATGCAATACAAGAAAACTTATAATTACCAGTTCACTTTTTTTTTTTTTTTTTTTTTTTTTTTTTGAGAAGGTAAATGTTATTAGCAGTTCACTTTATGAAAGCTTAGGAAGAGAAGAAGTCCATGTTTGGTTTTACTTTGATCTTTTATGTGGCTTTTGATCAGTGTGTTCAAAAGCTGATCCACATAATTGCTTGTTATGTGAAAGTATTACTTCTTAACCTTTAGATCATATTTTCAAAGTAAGAACAGTGGAAACACAATTTTGTTGACAAAAGAAGATACTACTCAACTTATTCTTATCCTAATCAATAGAGGGTAAATAGTTTAGTTTCTTAGATATGGTGTTAAGAAAGAACCAGGCAACCAAAAGTCCACTCTCATCTGCAGGCCGTCTTGCAAACTGGCCATTAACAGTCGTCTCGAAGGACAATAGAGCAAAGACAACAATAAGTTGAAACTCGCCACATTTAGTGGCTAATCTTTCTATAGTTGCTAAAATTACTCTAAGATCTACATCACCTAATTCAAGACAAAATATTTCGACAATAAACTCAATACAAAGTAGAAAGCATTTAAGTTTGGTGGAAATGTGGAGTCTAAATACCTTTTCACGAATTGGACCATGGGTTGATCCAGAAGAGTGTGGAAGATTTTGGCCTCTTACAGCTGTGTGCTACTTGCAGGTGAATTGTGCGAGAAGAAAGACTTTAATCCCATCTCTACTCAGCTTTCAAGGTACCTCAGTTAAGCTTTCATATATTTGTACGATTGCTTATCTCCTTCTCTTTTCCCTTTTTGCTTGATAATGACTTCTCAACTTCTGAGATCTTGAAGTTCAACTGTGTAAATACTCAAGAATTTGAAAATTTTAACTTCTTATAATTCATTCTACCGAAATTAGTCAATTGAGTTGGGAATTTTTGAATTTAACTTTTCTACCGAAATTAGCCAATTGTGTATATAAATCTGAGTTGGGAAATTTTGAATTTAACTTTGTGTGAGATCCATTAATAAAAGTTTGAATCTTTTTGGCAAATTCTTAAAGTATTGTTGAATGAATGAATGAATGAATGAATCAACCATTCAAATCTGAGATAATTTGATTTGAACTGGGCGTGAGATGCACTGAAGAAGTTTGAATCTTTTGTAGGATAAAGTTTTGGTAAATTCTTGGGTTATGCTGATTGAATCAATCTGTCATTCTGACTCAGATAGTTTGAGTTGAACTGGGTGTGAGATGCACTGAAGAGAGTCTAAACCATTATGCATCCCATAGGATATTTTTCCCTGGTGAATTTTGCTGGTTGAATCAATCCTCGGTAGAAACTTTGAATCTTTATGCATTTATGGAAATCTTTTTGGTGAATACTTAAGTTATGTTCATAGAACCATATTAACTGAGATAGTTTGAATTGAACTGGATGTGAAATACATGGAAGAAAGTCGTCTTCTTTAAGCGTTTCTTGGAATTGTTTTGGTAAATTCTTAACTTCTGTTGATTGATTTGGTCCTCCTTGTAATTGAGATAGTGGGTAACCAACAATGTTAACAAAAGTCATTGCTCCGTCACTTAAGGTGATGATGCGAGGGTTTAGTGGTTCCTCGGTGAAGCCATGCATTTTAGAGAAGTTTGTGCTTCAAACAATAGCGCACTAAGGGGTTGTTTGGTAGGATGCATTAGATAAGTTAATGCATGCATTAGCTTTGTGTATTAATAATACATTGTTTGGTAGACATTTTGAACCTATGCATTAGTTATGCAAGTATTAGTTATACATCCTATTTGGTATTATCCTATGCATAACTAATGCATAAAAAACAATGGTATTAGCAATGCAATGGGTTTTAATGCATGCATTAGCTTAGTTAAAGACAAAATTGTCCTTCAAAATTTATGCTTGATTAAAATATGCTAGTTAGTATATTAATGAAAGTTCAAAATAATCCAAATAGTGAGAAATAAAATTATATCCCTAGTAAATAAATAAATACTTAGCATATTTTCTTTTATATAAATAAATATTTAATTTTATTTTACAATATAGGTAGACAAATAAAATAATTTTTTAAAACTTTTTCATATAAAAACATTTCTCAACATATGTTTCTTTTAAAAAGTTAGAGTGTGGACTAGTTTTGAGGGCATTTTTGTAAACAAACAATTCTTTTAGAAACTGTGCAATGCTTTAATACATCAAACCAAACACTGGATAAGAAATATGTCAGCATAACTAATACCATCATAACTAATGCAAACATAACTAATACCAGCATTACTAATACACCCTATTCAGCATTATTCTTATGCACCCTACCAAACGACTCCTAAGTGATTCTAACGAGAATCAGTCATTTATTTGAGTCTTATCTTTGAGGAGTTGGATTAATATCGACATTATTATATATTGCAAGTTGACATTTATAATTTAATTGCAATTTAATTTTGGTGTACAATTTACAGATGTTAATTTTTTTTTTTTTAATTTCCCGTAAATTATGTGCTTCACTTATAAGTGTGGCTTTTCTTCTCGCTTTTCACTTCAAACCCCATGGTCCTTATTGCATTTTTGCACTTTTCACCATCACTGGTTCGAGTAACCAGAAAGTTCTATTCTTGTTTTGCTGTCTGCATCTAAGTTTCGCACTCTTATCGTTTTTGGCATTTTTTTGTAGAATTGCAGAAGGCCGTGATGTCGGGGCATGATAACTCAAATGGGTCTTCAGAAAAATCCAGCAGTGGTATGGATGATTTGCCAACTTTCAATGCTGAGAATATGCAAAACAACATGAAAGTTATTTTATACAGGTTGGTTGATACTATCTTTAGGTTCAGTGCAGTGTTTTATAGTCTCTTATGGTTTTACTATTTCTTGAAGATTTCAAATAGTTATAATTAGCTATTCTGGACGTACGTTAATACATACTATGTTGGTGGTCCTCAATCATGTGAGATTGATGTTAGCACAACTGGACTACTGGTTGAAGTTATATGCATTTGTGTTGGAATTAAATCCTTCACTGAGGCATTATTTGTATTCTTTTTCTTATAATCGAGAAATCCTCGAGGTCCAGTGGCGTAAGATTCGAAGCTCGGTGGATAATAGACCTCCCCCTTTACCCTTCTTCCCTTTACCTCTGCAACAGAGTTTGAACCCGTGACGCTTACCTAATCCACACATCACGCTTTGCGCTCTTACCACTAAACCAAAACTTTGGGGCTTATTGATTAACAGGAAGTATCTATGTTAAATTTGTTAATTTTGACCAAGATAATGTTTTAGAGCTCAAGTTCAAACATATGGACTTATTTTTAAGAAGCGCAAGAAGTCCAAGAAGCTCAAGATTGATTTCAAAAAGCCAAGATTCTTTCCTTTTTAAAATATGATTTATTGTTTCTTTACAATAAAGGATTTCTTGTTTCCTTTTATTGGTAGGTTTAGACTTTCTTTATTGTTTTCCTTTTAGAATAAGCATTTTTCCTTTTGTAGGATTTTAGTTCTTTTTCCTTGTAGAGTAGGAATTTTACTTTCCTTGTCTTTAGCTATTTGATTTCCTTATTAGAATATGAATTGTAGTCATCAAAGAAGAGACCCTAGACCTATATTAAGGGTTCTCATGCCTTGTAGAAGGAATTCACGTTTTTGAGATTTGTCTTTATTTGCAATAGAATGTTCTTCTCTATTTTATCTTCTTTATCCTTGTTTTTGTTCCAAGCATGGTGGTGATAGTCTTTATCAGTGTTATCAAAGGCGTGCATAAGCCCTAAAGCGAGGCTCAAAATATGTTGAACGCTTCGCCTCGCTTAGCGTGCGCTTTATTGTTGTCATTAAGGCTCTAAGCATACTTTTCTTGCCAATGAGCATAATCCTGAAAAGGCGATATTAAGCAATTGATATTTTACTTTATCGTAAATTTTCTTCAATTTCTTTGTCCTTATATTTGGTATTCATACTTATTAATATTAGTCTTGGACTACACTTACATATTTGTAGTTTTTCTCCATTTGCGCCTTTCTTCATTAAAGCCCACGCTTTATTTGCGCTTTGCGCATAAGGCCCTAATAGATCTTAGAGCTTTTTTGCGCTTTTCGCCTTTAATGACACTGGTCTTTATCTTGTTTTCAATTGCGTGTGGTGTTTCTTTACCACATTAATTAATTCCAAGTGGTGAATTTAGGAACTTTTTAGTTCTTGATCATTCAAGAACATGTTTCTTGATCTAAATTCGTTCATTTAATATCTTAGAATCAGAACTTTCACTGAACCGGTACAGCCTCAATATTTACTTGTTTTGAACGAATAAATAGTTTTTCTTGTAGTTCAGATCATCATCGTTCACCTCGTTTTTGAATCATCAGATTCCGAGTCCTAAAACTTGAGATACACCGTTTCTTGAAATCAGCCCATAAATCACGTTTTCGTTTCAAGATCTTGATCCTGCTCGATTGGTTCTTTGTTAACTCGAAGAATCGCATCAATTTGCTATCAGAGCTATAATTTGGAGGTCCAGGTTGACGAATTTATCTTGGCCAAGATTATGTTTTAGAGCTCACGTTCAAACATATGAACTTATTTTTAAAAAGCGCAAGAAGTCCAAGTAGCTCAAGATTGATTTCAAGATGCCAAAATTCTTTCCTTCTTAAAATAGGAATTATTATTTCTTTACAAGAAAGGATTTCTTGTTTTCTTTTCTTGGTAAGTTTAGTTTCTTTTCCTTGTAGAATAGGGATTCCTTGTCTTTAGCTATTTCATTTCCTTATTAGAAAAGGAATTGTAGTCATCAAAGAAGAGACCCTAGGCCGATATAAAGGGTTCTCATGCCTTGTAGAAGGAATTCATGTTTTTGAGATTTGCCCTAATTTGCAATAGAGTATTTTTTTCTATTTTGTCTTCTTTATCCTTGTGGTTCCAAGCAAGGTGGTGCTAGTCTTTATCTTGTTTTCAATTGTGTGTGTTGTTTTATTATCACGTTAATTGATTCCAAGTGGTGACTTTAGGAACATTTTAGTTCTTGATCATTCAAGAACACGTTTCTTGATCTAAATTCGTTTGTCTAATATCCTAGAATCAGAGCTTTCATTGAACCGGTACAACCTCAATGTTCACTTGTTTTGAACGAATAAATAGTCTTTTTTATAGTTCAGATCGTCATCGTTCATCTTGTTTTTGAATCATCAGATTCCGAGTCCTAAAACTTGAGATACGCTGTTTCTGGAAATCAGCCCATAAACCACGTTTTCATTTCAAGATCTTGAAATAATATCAAGATCTCAGTGCTAACGTCTTTTCATCTTTGAGCAATACTTGGAATGATTTTTCTGTATTATGGCTTTTTGGGTTGGGTTCCTTGAGTTTTTATTTTCCAGTGCACTAGACTATAGCTCGTTGCACCTAAGCAGAAAGGAAATATCTGTTACTCTTGTTAAGTGCCATGTGTTACTATAATGGCTTGAGTCAAATATCCGTTCCCTCAATCATCAAAGAAACAACCTAATACCCAACACCAAAAACTGGAGATTATAATGGTATTGATGAATGAATTTTACCTTTATAAGTTACAATAATCGATGAGAAGTAGTTTTTTGAATTATTTAAGAGTTTATACTGGTTTTCAATGCTAATGGAAGTCCTGGTACTATGCTTCTTATTTTGCTTCTACAACAAAACAATCCCAAGTTCATAAACTTATCATATATAAGAAAAACAAAACCAACCTTTTGTGCTGCAATTATCTATCAAGAAATGTCAATACTTGATTATTCAATTGGAACAAAAGGAAGAATGAAAATGTGAATGGAGACAGGCAGTTGATTATCTATGAACAAGTAAAGTTGGGTTCTTTTTGTCTTTCTGAGCTATTATGCTTTTTCCCTGTCATTGGACATTTTCAATTTATATTGAGCATTATGTTGTTAGCCGCACATTCATGGCAATCATTGGTGGTGTCATTGCCGGCATTCTGGGACTTACTAGCTTGACAGGCTTTATCTTTTATTTCCTTGTCATGGCAATAACTTCGGTAGCACTCACAGCAAAGGCCAAGTTTTCAATCCACTCCTACTTTGACAGCTGGAACAGAGTCATACTTGATGGATTTTTTGGCGGGCTTATGGTACCTCTTTGATTCGATACTTCTAATAAGATGTCTTCTTTGTGTATTTTCGTTTGTTCTAATACTTGATTAAGAATCAATTCATCTATTGCCTGCCCAACCACCCCTATGGGAGAAAATATTGTAAAATTTACTTTCATTTCAAAATCATAATTTTTTTTGAAAAGCCCTGATTAATTTACTTTACCCTGCCTTATTTTTTCTCCCTTATTACCCTTTTGGAAATTTTTCTCATTCATTTTCCCGGTTATGAATTCTTCCCAAATCTTTTCAACTTTTATTTCTTCAAATTTCTCTTGCAGTTAACCAATTACTGGATCATATTATCTGTATCTTAGTGATATTTTATTGGTTAGAATCATGTTTATCAGTATTCCTATAGATCTTCGTCAATTATTTGGGGAGATGAGATTGATTTCTATCTTGGTAGAGCCTATGTTGTACCTTCTTGTTTTAAGGTAGTATCCAGCATAAAAATTTCACTGCTTGATTGCTGAGAGGAATTTGCTGTCTTTGCATGACAATTTGAAATTTAAATTTAGCTTCATATGCTTAATTTGACACTGACTTGACGTTTCTGTTCTTTGCAGTCATTCGTGCTCTTCTGGACGTATCCTAATTTGTTGTAGTCTTTCGACAAATAGATTTATAAATTATTTTATTCCCTCTTGATAAAACTATCTGAAGGTATTTGGCTTATCATCTCCGCCCCAACATGTATGTCTTTTGCCAATATTCTCAAGTTTTACTTAAGTAACAAGATAGGGTGTAGAGATGACCATGCAGATGTTATCAGGTTATAGTTGGGAACATGTTATCCTCTACCTCCCCTCCTCTGCCCTAGGAAATAACCATATTCTGTCTTTTACCTTTGCTTCTTGGACAAATTGTTTTGGATAAGTTTAGTTGAGAAAAGAATTGTGGGAAACAAAAACATAACTGGATATTTTGTTAACATTTATAGTGCTCTCAAATTTTTTTGAGATGATAACAGTTTTATATATTCAAAAGGCACAAAGGCTGTGCTGGCCATAATTACAGGATGTTGTACCAAAATATACATCTAAAATTTCTATCCTATTACAGGGATCCTAGAACATCTATTATAGCTTCTGGATCCTCTGTATAATCCTGCTTACAGGGATCCTAGAACATCTATTATAGCTTCTGGATCCTCTGTATAATCCTGCTTACAGGGATCCTAGAACATCTATCCTATTACAGGGATCCTAGAACATCTATTATAGCTTCTGGATCCTCTGTATAATCCTGCTTACACCAAAATAAAACAACAACAAAGAGTCCATTTTTATCTTCTGAATTGAGCTGCCCTTGTCTCAAAACACCTTGAGTTCCTTTCTTTCCAAATAGACCACCATATGCAAGCAGGAATTAAATCCCATCTGTTCTTCTGAGCTGAGGGACTACTCCCTTTATTCCAACATGACAACATTTCCTTTGTGTTGTTTGGCATGACCCAGTGTACCCCTGCTAGTGCTAGAAATATATTCCAAACTTGTACTGTCACTGAACAATGTAAGAAAAGGTGATTAATAGTTTCTGCCTCCCTTCCACATAGATGACATCTGGAACAGAGTGGTAGACCCCTTTTCATCAGGTTATTTTCTGTTAAACAGGCCTTTCTAGCTACCAGCCAAACAAAACATGCCTCTTTATAAGGAGTCTTTACTTTCCAAATATGCTTCCAGGGCCAAAACTCAGTTATAACGTTAGTTTGATTGATCGCTTGATAAGAAGATCTAACAGAGAAACTACCTGACTTGTGTCCCAGCCCCCAAACCTTGTCATCATTCTGAGTGACACCTGTGAATTGATTGATTTTGTTGAAGAAGTCTGCAATTCTAATGATTTCCCATTCATTCAATAATCTCCTAAAGGTGAGATTCCACCCTTGGACAGACCAAACTTCATTGATGGTGGCCTTCTGTTACTGGTTTATAATGAAAATGTCTGGATACATTGTCTTCAAAGGTTGCTGCCCCATCCAATTATCTTGCCAGAAGAAGATTTTTTGCCCATTTCCCACTCTATGATTGATTTTATTGCTAAAAATCAGCCACAAATTTCTGATGGTCTTCCAAACACTTACTCCATAGACATTGTTCACTGCCTTAGTTTTCCAGGGTCCTTCCTCACCATATTTGTCTGTGATTACCCTCCTCCATAATGAGTGTTCTTCATTTGTGTATCTCTAGAGCCATTTCACGAGAAGGCTTTGATTTTGTTTCTTCAAATTTTTAACTCCCATGCCACCCTGTTTTTTGCTTAAGGTGACAGTTTTCCATTTAACTAAATGGAACCCTCTACTAACTTTGTTGCCTTGCCATAGAAAGTTTCTCCTTAAAAAAATCCATTCTTTTTTCTATCTTTGCCGGGATAGGAAACAATGACATCATATATGTAGGGAGAGCATCTAACACACTATTTATAAGCACTAATCTACCTCCTAATGAGAGGTATTGGCTTTTCCACCTAGCAAGCCTCTTCTCACATTTTTCCAGAACTCCGCTCCATATATCAATGGATTTACTTTTTGCCCCAGAGGCATTCCAAGATAAACAGTTGGGAGGGTACCTATTTCACCTCCAAGAATCTCAGCGAACTGCTGAATTTGTTGAGGTTCATTAACCGGATATATTAAACTTTTCCTCCAGTTTATGTGGAGTCCTGATATCCCTTCAAAAATTGTCTAGACTACTCTTAACATCCTTATCTGATCTGTCTCAGCATCACAAAGAATGATTGCGGTCGTCTGCATAAAGGAGATGAGTGATCTCCAAACTTCCCCCTTGTCTGTTGCTAACCTTGAATCCCCTGATCCAGTTGTTCTGTTGGGCTGTTTCAAGCATATTATTCAGCCCTTCCATAGCAATAATAAATAGGAAAGGAGATAACGGATCCCCCTGTCTTAGACCCCTGTATGATGGAAAGAAACCTTCTGGACTCCCGTTAACCAAACACTGAAAATCTTGCTGTGCTTATGCAAAATCTGATGCAGTTAATCCACTATAGCGCTCTCAATTTTTTTTTCATAGAAAATTATTTCTTAACCAACCAAATTGAAAAAACAAAGGAGAGGCCGTAGCGGTGCCAATATTTTCATTGCATTTCTTGTGTGGGTTTTATGTATCTTTACCATATCATCCCTTGCATCATGTTGCATCGTATATGCATTCCTGTAATTCCTTGACATGCAAAAGATTCGCATATGACATTGTGCATATATTCTGAGGATACCTTCCCATGCGAGATGAAGACCTTTGCTATCCCAAGAAGATGCTATAGACATTTTCAAGTTCAAAGTGGTGGGTATTCAAAGTTTGCACCCATGATATTTTCGTTCTATTAAGCTTGCAAGAAAGTTTTAGAGTTGGGAGTAGTTGAACATTTGATCTTGAGAAAAGTTTTTGGTCAGATAATTTATATTCAGGGTTTAAAAGCTCAAGTAATTGCATAAGCAGTTGAACATTCCATATCACTGCTGATCTAGTGATTTCCTTTCCCCTTCTACTACCCTGCCATAAAGCAGCTGTATTTTTTAATAAGAAAAGCTGCAAATTTAAGATGTTTTTCAAGAATGTAATTACATCAACATATATTACCTGGTATTTATCAATGGTATGTATCTCCACTGATGTGGAAATAGATTGCCAGATAAGATCTGCCTGAGAGTTGTAGGGTGTAATGATGCCTATATCTTCCTCCAATATACCTCTACTCAACAACCTACGCACTATCTGTAGGCCAAAATCATTATGCAGAAATTGTAGCTTAATATATTTCTTGTGATCCGATGCTAATGGTCATTAATGTTCACGAAAGAAGCAAGAGACATTCATACCTCAGCAATGATATTTACTTCCATTGGGTTATAGAGAGCTGGTAATCTTAGTGAAATCTAATTGTTCAGGTTCAACAATTGAGCCTTATACTGTTCTTAATAAGCACTACTATGGTTATACTTTTGACTACAGATTGGCTTTTGGAAAGGTAGAAAATATAGGTTTTGATTGGATTCCGCAGTCATGTGGTTTGTTCTTACTTTCCGATGCCAATAAATTTATGTATTGTACAAAAAGAATTGCAGTTTTTCAATGCATGATTGAATTGAGATGCAGCTAAGGAGAGAGGCCCTGTGAATTTCTACAATTAATTCAGGCTAAAATCGAGCTTTAGGGTGTGTTTGGTATGGAGAAAATGTTTTTCAATTTTGCTATATTTGGTTAGTTTTTTCATGGACTTATTTTCCTCCAATTGATTGGAGGAAAATAATTTGCCTACCAAAAGAAAGAAAATATTTTCATAACTCTTTTGCAACATTCCTTATCCTCCACCTTCCCTCAACCTCACCCCACCCTTACCCCCCACACTTAACCCCCACCCTGCC